GGATAAATGATGCACAGAATCTTTTTACTTTGCAATAGATTTGTACTAACCAGATTTGTCCTATCATGTTTTGAGGAGTTAAACTTTTTTCCCTGTGCTGATAATGTTTAAAGTTTGTTTCTGCATATATGCACATTACTTGTGGATCGTAAACCCAGTTTTGACAGACTAAAAAGTTTAAATACAGAAAATGTCCTGTTCACTTGAAAGAAAAAGACCTACTTTTTAAATGGACACTATCTTGTTTTAAAAGAAAAAAGTTTTTTGTTATAAGTGACCTTTGTCTGAAATGTCTGAAAAGTAGTTATTGCCTTTGGGTATTGAAGTAATGGATGATTAAAATGTACTTCCATAATATTGACTGTAGACAGGCCTCTACAGTGCTGACTATATATTTTTATAAACTGCTGGCAAATGACTTACCCAGTTGTTATATACCTGTTTTCAGTTCTCTTTAGGGGGCCATGTCCTACACTTGCATGGATAAATGCATGCATTGCCTAATCAACTCACTTAAAAAGCTCTTGCACTGGTATTGATCTTGAACCTCTCTACTTCACTTTTTAGAGCAGCTTCTTAGTTCCTTTAAGCACTTAACATCTTCCACCACAACAGCTTGCCTCTCGAGGGTAATTGTTAGTCCATTTGTCCTCCAGTTTTCTAGGGACAAAAGAGTATTGAAGCCTGTTGCTTTATCTGTTCTCTCTAGGGCTCAGATACACTGGCTGAGACAGAAACCCAAATTCCAAGGCTCTTTGTTTTGATACTAGACCTCAGATGATTAGTCCTGTTTTCACTACCATATCACTTGCTGACCAGATGTGTGGACACAACTGTGGGATGCAGTTTGGCCATTGAAGCAGAGTTCACTGAAGAAAAACTACTATGAAAAAGCATTCTCATCAGAGGGAAGCTTTTTAATGTTCATTCCAAGCTTTCCTTAACCTACAATGTTGAACAAAAGCTTTAACTTCTTTTGCACGCCTGTTGTGAGCCTGTAACTGGAGAAGCATGTCTTGCACTGTTGAGCCTTTTGAGTGGTCACATTGACTGTACACAATGGTTTTTTTCCTCAGTTGTATAGTTTTGAGACATCCACCCATCACTGTGCTAGTCTTAATGTACTAAATTATGTAGCTATTATTTGACTGTTAAATTCTCCTCAGCAACTGTTGCCTTGGGCTTCAGTTATGTGAAGTAAATTTGGGTGTAAAATAGAAAATTATCCCTTTCTGGGTAGGAATTTAACAGGTTATATACCTAAGATTTTGGTTAAGTACCTTCATTGAATAAAAGCACAAGGTTTCCATATCTTACATCCGTCCAGTATACCACAGTTTTGTCTCTTTTAGATTACTCTCACCAAATGAAACTCTTTCCTATCCATTTATTGTATTATCTTCATGTAATATTTGTCCTTAGAGTTCAGTCAGTTCTTTGTCTAACTTTAAAACTCCATTTACAATGTAGTATGTTTTAAATGAAAAACCATAAAGTAACACTCAAGTGTTCCATGGTTTGGGGGAAGGTAATTTTAAAATAAACAATTTAAACTAAAAAGAAAAAAGGATCCCCCCCAAAAAACCCTATTTTTTTCAGCCAACGTCATCTGTAAAAGGCCCTCTCTAGAAACCCTTTTCTCAGCAGGCCTCCTTTTTGTAATCATAGGATTTAGCCATATTGCTGTAAATTTGGGAGAAGCCTACTGGGATACTCATGGCCTTTAATCATCTGCTTTCCTGGTGTTGGAACATTCTTCAGATAACAAAATGCATGTTTACAAGTTTGCTGCGTTTATCCTTGTGCATCAGAGAGAGATAACCTTAGATTATTCTTTATAGTTGTTCATGAATTGCCAAGAGTTTCCCCAACTTCTTTTTAAACTATATCTAGATATCTTCATTGGACTTCCTTTATGAAAGGCTGTATTCGTGAACAACAGTGTATGGTTTTCATAATAAGCACTCACACTATTAGAAAGTATGTATTCTATTTCAGAATCCAAAGTTATACAACATATACTTGTAAACTACCTGTCTCTAAGGTTAATGAGTTATACTCATTAATACACAGATGTTCCATAGCTGTGGAAGAAGAAAATACTATGCTTGTTTCTTATAGTCTTAATTCTTAGGATGTCTAGCACAAACATAATAGGAAACTACTCCCACCATTAATCAGGACAGTTCTTTATGGTGGCCATTGAACAATGTAGTGATATTTAAGGTTCAACAAATCATTTTCATAATCTAAAATGAACTTTTTTCAGGAAAATATTAAGTTAGCCTCCCAAAAGAGAGCCATCCTACCCTGCGTTCAAATCAATAGTTTAAATGCTATATGATTTTCATGTTGTGTTGTCCTGGAGCAGCATTTCAGAAAGTGTTTCCATCGTCTTCCTTGCCTGTGTTTCTAACACTCCTACATTGTCTTGGATCATTCCACCTTACTGATTTATTCTGGTACAACACTACAGGCATGCATCCAGTGTGAAAAGGCGGAGGATATAAGACATTATGGGGATTGGTCTCAATGCTCCACCCCAGCGAGATCCTCTGCATTAACCACATGCACTTGTTTTACTTGCTTTTTCACCTATTCTGAAGAGGTTCTAGAACCTGTTGTTTCTCAGACTCCTCTCTTTAGAGCCTGGAGTTAACGGGGGAAACAAATGTATTGAGAGTGATCGTACTGTTTAAAGACCGTTGGGATGCCATCAGGTCTAAAGCCACTGGTTTTAGAAAACCGTTTTTCCTGTAAAACATGTTTTTTTGAGTACTGAACTCTACGGGGCTTGCCTTAATAATCTCTTTTATTAGTTTCAAAATGAATGCGCTATTGTTCCACTTGTTGATATGTTAAAATCTTTGTAGCCCCCAAAGTGGGTAAAACAAAGTATACGTAATGCCTAAATAAATAAGCTAAAAGGTGTCACTACAGCCGGATTTTTGAGAGAAAATGGGCATATGGAAATAGGCTATGTGTAATAAAAAGACAATGGCACCTGAAGATTGCACTATTTTATGCTTTATTTTATATGCCATTTCATAGCCTGCACTTTAATCTCCAAAGAAACAATGTCTGATGTCCCAATTGTTCCACATTAAGAAATCTTTTCCTAAGACAGGGCACTTAATTCTATTTTATGATACTAAATTAGTTTCTTGGAGATGGATTCTCTTTGAGTTCTCTATTTCCTTAGCCATAATATTTTCTAGGATCTGGGAACTCCTTATCTAATTTTATTTCCAACAATATATAGAATCTTAATTTAATGTACTATAACACATGCTTGGTGATCAGCACATTCTTCTATCCTGCTGTATCAGGAGTACCCATTTTTTTATATTTACCAAACCCTCAAAAAATAACATACGCTGTCAGTAAGATTTGAAGCCAGGAATGACACTGACAAAAATCATGCAGTCTCTTAGAAACTGCCAATTCAGATAGGATTTTCAATTAATCCTTTTTAGTACACAAAAAGATTAGCAAGGTAAAAATACAGACTTCCACATAGCTTTTCTGTGGCAAAACAGCACACTAATGCAACTCTAGAAAATGAAACTGGCAACTAATTGCTGAATACCATCATTTTTCACTTTTAATAGCAATATTGGTGATAAAGGTTAAGTGATGTTAGCATTTTCCAACTTCTTAACAATCTCTGTTAAGTTTCTGGAGTTCAGATTAAATCCACACTTTCCTAGTTGTGTTTGAGGAGCACCATGAGATGTAGCAGCATATTGATCCTTTATTTAGGTCTATTGGCAAAGTATACTAATCCATATTCAAAGCGATATGAAAGGTCAGAAGTGTTTAAAATTCCTCTATGTGGTACGATGTCTGTTACCTATGCTCATGAGCAACAATAAATTTCTAGTTTACCTTTTGGAACTTTAATTGTTTATAACCTAATTCAATTATTGGAAAGTAAAACACACCTCCCAGTTACACAACAGGGTACATGAATAAATGTGTTGTTACCAGTGCTACTTGTTTTCTTTGTATTTCGTACAAAAGAATGTGGAGCTGGGCTACATAGCCTGAAGAGCCACCTCTTGAAGTACTGAACACTATGGGTGTTTCATAAGTGTGCTAGTTTTGACAGGCATCTTACAGAGGAGATACTACTCTATGTGGGGAAATTGACCATCATTTGAACAGCATGTCTGTTGTTACACAAGAATGCAGCCACCTGGAATTTGAACCCATACTTCTGAAGATTCTGTAAATCAAGGTCACTTTGCTACCTTCTGAAAGAGTTAGGGCCTGGGTTAGACTCTAAATTGCCTTCATTCTAAGGTGAGTTACACGTGGATGCTCTTTCCATGTATCTCCTACAAGTTGTGGTTAGATATTATCAAGTCGGAACCAATTCACAGCTCACCCTTCAGAGGATTTTCAGAGGCAGTAAATTGCATGGGAGGAAATTACCCACTCCCTTCTGCAGAGCAGCCACACGCCTTCGGGTTAGCAGTGTGACTCCTGACTACTAGGACACCAGAGCTCCTTTCTTTTAAGAGTTGTGAGGTTTCTCGAGTGCATTATGGCACATACTGGCCCCTGTTAAACAACTGGCCTGAACTCAGTCCTGTCCTGTGCCATTCGCCTAATCTCTTAACACACTCGAGCCCCTTGCTGCAGTCACTGTCAATCCATCTAGGTCTTTGTCTCCATCACTGACCCTCCCCCTTTCCAAGCATGATGTCCCTTTCCAAAGTATAGCCTCTTCTCTAACATGTCCAAAGTATGTGAGATGAAATTTCACCGTCCTTTCCTCCAAGAAACACTCTGGCTGCACTTTCTCCAGCACCACAACTCAAAGGCATCAGTGATTCTTTTGTCATTCTTATTTGTTGTCCAGCTCTCAGATGCATAACAAATGACTGAAAGAACCATGGCCTGAGTCAATGTGCACGTTAAGTCTTCAAACTAACATTGTTCTTGAGTATTTTGGAGAGGGCCCTAATAGCTGACTTGCCCAGTGTCTCATGGTTGCTCATACCAAGGATGTTGCTTATGGATCCAAGAAGGAAGAAATTGTTCAGACAATTTCAATCTTTTCTCCATGATGATTTTGCTAGTGGTGAGGATTTTTGTCTTCCTGATGTGATGTAATTCGTACTGAAGGCTTTGGTCTTCTGCTAGTAGTCAATGCCAAAACCACTAATACAAAGAGGCATGAACAACTGAAGAGCAGAGGAAAGCTGGACTTGAAAGTTTTCATCCTAAAGTTTTTTTATGGTGTATTTATCCTTACAGCAGCTCATTGCCATTGAGTTAGGACTGACCCATAATTTTCAGTCTATAAATGGCTCAGAAGATTGCTCATCTTTCAGAACAGGTAGTGGAGTCAAACCACCAGCCAGCCTTTGGATTGGCAGCACAATCCCTTAACCACTAGGCCATCAGAGCTCCCTATCAAGAAAATAAAAATCTAAACATCAAGAAAGCAAAAATTCCTTACCACTCCACTAATTGGCAACATCATGAAAGATGGAGATAGGACTGAAGAGTCAGTGATTTCATCTTAGATTCACAATCAGCACCCTTGGTACCAACTATCAGATCAGGGATTGTACTGCTTTGAGCAAGTCCACTTTCGGGGCCCTCTCTAAAATATCGAGCAGTTATGTCAGTTTAAAATGTGCCTGATTTGGGCGATTCTTTTCAATCATTTGTTGTGAATCTGAGAGCGGGACAATAAGATGACAGAAGATGAATTCATTAATGCCTTTGAGCTGTGGTGTTGGAGAAGAGGACTGAACATCCCATTAA